TTCTTCTTTTCAGCTGAAGGAGCTCTGATGAAACTGACACAAGGCCTGAAGGACGAGTCCATGGCCTACATTTACCACTGTCAGAACCACTACTTTTGCCCCGTGGGGTTCGAAGCCACGCCGCTCAAAGCAGCAAAGGCGTACAGGTAACGCCACGTCACAGCAGTTAGAACTGCTCGTTTAGATCAGTGCTCACTAAAAGCTGTGTTTTGAGATTTTTCTGCTAGCCCCTGCACGAAATATAATGAATGAGGTTTCGGTTTACTGCATTGATCCACATTGAAGGCTCATTTTATTTTATGTCGATATTTACTTGATGATGCTCGTTCATTTTTTTTTAAAACTTTTTTTTAAACTTTTTAATTTAGCTTATTTCTTTTTGTGTAGAGTTGTTTTGTTTTGTCATATTTCTTTGTTGCATTGTTTGCTGTAAGTTTACGTTTGTTAGAGATTTTATTTGATCTTTTGGCTGCGTGAAAAAGACGTTTTAATGGGACTCTTTGCAAAGTCTTGACTTGAATTAGAGGGTAAGTAACAGGAAACTGTTTATTCTTAGAGGTGCTCAGGAAGTGTGAACACCTCTTTAAAAGCAGAGGCTTCGGCACATTGTTGGTTTGGAACATTCAGGTGTGTGCTAGGTCTTCCCAGGAGTGGACATCCCAGCATATTCACTCCGTGCTCAAACCCTGCAGTGCTCAGAAAAACTCCATAACTCTACAGGCCACATAAGCATGTTAAAGGTTAAATCCATGAAAGCACACTTTAAAAAACTTAATTTACCTAATTTTATGACCCTCTGAAGAACAGCTGATTTTTTTTATTATGTCCTGAGATGTAAAATCTTATGGACTTAAACAAGAGACTTTACATTCTTAATATCGCCATATGAAGATCTGTAGTCTTAATAGCTCTTTTTATAAAAAAATATTAACAAATTAGTTGACTAGTTTTTAGTAACAGATGTTGTCCTGTTTTCTGTAAAGGGGCGCTCTTCCCACTAACGAAATGGAATACTGGATCTTAATCGGGGAACCCAGCAGAAAACATCCGGCTATTCATTGTAAAAAGTATGTTCCTGTTCAGTTTTTACTCCATTTCCACGTCTGCTGCTGTTAAGCAGTTTAACGGGCAGTTCTCTTTGCAGGTGGCTGGATATCGTGACTGACCTCAACACCCAAAATCCAGAATACCTGGACATTCGCCACACAGAGAGGGGGATTCAGCGCCGCAAAACCAAAAAGGTTCCAATTCTCAGACCAGCTGTTAAAATGTTTGTGTGTCTGAGATGGTGAATAACTAAAAGGCTTCTTCATTCTCAGGTAGGTGGAAACCTGCACTGCATCATGGCTTTCCAGAGGGTCAACTGGCAGAAGCTTGGCCCCTGGGCGCTGAATTTGGAAAACCTGCGACACGACTTTCACCAATCTGCCACGGAAAGGGCCCACGCGAGCGACGACAGCGAAGAGAGGACGTCAGCCAAGCGGATGGCCCAGCTGGGACGCTCGCACAGCATGGGAAGCCAGAAAGACACCAGCTGGAAACGCCAGTCCAACAGCACAGAGTACAGACAGCGCAGCTCGCCCGACAGCGACCTCGAAGAAGACATCACAGACTGAAAGGTTCTTAGGGATGAGCAGGATGAGGACTGAGTATCTAAACAGTAGTGAAGTTAGGAAGTTAAAGAATAGGTCTGGAGTTTTCTGCAGTTTACTGTTGA